CTTTCTAGGATCTTATCCTCTTCAGCACCAGTACCTTACCTTTTGTCACTTTGACAAGTCATCATGTTTGTGAGAAAGCCTCTCTGTTCTAGAACAGTTCTGCCATCATCCAACAGTATGTTTCTTGCTGAGATTCTGCTTTTGTGGATACAGTAGGAGAATCTGTTCTAATGAACATTAATCTATTACTTCACGTATATAAAGAGTGTCTTGGTTATGGTGGTACATACATGTAATCTGGTATGTACCACCATAACCAAGGGCTCTTTGGGAGACAGGAGGGCCAAGAATTAAAATCCAGCCCATGCTACATAATAATACCCTTACTAAGTAGTTTATTCAGATACAATTTTATCTGGAATAGGGTTGAAAATTCTTGGTTTCCAGTCACTTGAGGTCATTGGTCAGTTTGTAAGTCTTTTGTGCCAAAGTATTTTCATGTTAGTGTTAGGTCTTCACATCCCCTCTCAGTATGGCTAACAGACTAACCCTGACTTGCTCGAGGGATGATAACCTAGCTGTGTCTGCATAGTGTGATATACATCTCATCTGAACACCCAGTATATTCCAAACATTGGTTTGCCGTGGAGGAATAATAAATGTTGTATCTAACGTTGAGCTTTACATATGTGATAGATGCTGTTCTTAGTCTTTTATATGCTGTCTCTACAATCATTCAGAAACTATGTGTAGACATGCCTCCTTGTAAAATGAATCAGTCATAAAGAGGTTCAGCAGTTTGATTAAACCCATAAGGATAAGTAGTGGAAGAGAGCTGGGTCTAGTGGCTCAGGCCCATTATCTCCAGCAGTCTGGAAGGGTGAGGCAGAGAATCATAAGCTGAAGTTCTGCCTTGAGTACAGAAGGAATTCCAGGCCAGCCTGAGTAACTTAGTCTGATCCTGACTCAAAAAAGAAAAAAAAATGTAAAAGAAACTTTTTTTAAAAATAGGAAGGGGCTAGGGTTATAGCTCAGTGGTAGAGCACTTGCCTCTTATGTCCAAGGATCTGGGTTCATCACTGGGATTGCCCATCTCCCAGTAAGTAGATAAGTAATAGAGCCAAGGTATGCGCTCAGTGTGATTTCGTATCTGTGCAATAGCCACATCACTGTGTGGTTGGGGAGAAGCTTTGATTTGAGAGGCAGAATTCTTAGTGGTCTCACCTCCCACCCTATTATCGCATATTGTTACTTGAATGATTTGGGGGAAATTACTCAGCCTTGCTGAACCCCAGTCTCCTATCTGTAAAATGAAAATGGTAATGTATAGTTCATAGGATGACGGTAAAGAATGTTTATACTTGCCTGCTATGGTAGTATATTCCTGTGGTCTCAGCACTTGGAAGGCAGAGTCAGGAGGGTTGCTGCAAGTTCAGAGCCAGCCTGTTTTATATAGTGAGTTCTAGGCCACCCAGGACTTGAGTAGAAACCTATCTCAAAAAATAAATGTGTAAATGAATTATGAACCGTTGAGTTAATATTATCATCTCTGTTTTCAAAGCACTACACCAGTACTAAAGGTAGAATAAGAAAGTTGTGCTTCTTTGAGGCTCCAGTGCAACGTGGAGTAAGGACAAATATAAGACCTGTTTATATACAGGAACCTGTTTATATACAGTAACATTGCAGGCAGGGAGCTATGGTGGGCATTTTCTGTATACACTATCAACAGTCCCACAGGGGCCAGGAGGGAAGGCACTGTCATTTCCTTGAGCTTAGCTCGCCAGGCAAGATAGCAAATGCCTGTAATTACAGCACTAGGAGGCTGGGGCAAGAGGATCTTCAATTTTGAGATGCTGTCCAAAAACAAAACCAGAAGAGAAGAGCAAGGATTCGAATGGGAGAGAAGCTGGGAAGATGGCTCAATGGGGAAGAATCCTTGTGCAAGCATGAGGACTTGAGTCAGAATCCCTGCATAAGGCCAGAATGGACATTGGGTGGCATCTTCCTTCACTCTCCCTTAGGGCTTGGCAGCAGTAAGTGGCAGCTTCTGGTGATGGTCCTCTTACAGGCTTTGGGTATTGGCGCCCTTAACAGTGGGCTGTGGCCAGTGTTGCAGCTCTAATCCTGGGGTCTGAGACTCTTGGATGTGAAAACTAGACAGCTCCCTGGAATTCTTATGACTCATGCCTGCAGGTGCTTTCATTCAGGTCCTCTTGAATATTAGGCAAGCATACCATTGTTACATTTCCAGCCCTACTTTTCACTTTCTTGATAGTTAGTCCCTCTGTGCACAAAAGCTTTAAATCTTGTTGAACTAGCAGTTCTGTTTTAAGTGGTCTTAATGCCCTTGTGGAAAATTAATAATCCATAGATCTTTTTATTTTTATACTCTTAGTTTTGTTCATTGAGGTACACATGTCCTCTATACAAGTACTGTACAATTTTATTTAACTTTGTTCTTTTATTAACCCCACTAAAATTTTTTTTAACAGTTCTTATTGTATCACTCAGGGCAGCGTCAAACTCTGATCCTAGGCTTCCAGAGTCCTCCTGTATTAGCTTCTCAAATAGCTGGGTTTATAGCTGCATATCACTTTTTCTGACTCACTCTTTTTACTCTAGATATACTTGTGATTTTAGTACCCTGTACACAATGTTTTGTGTTCACAGTGTTTTGTGTACACAGTGTTTTGTGTTCTCCTTTTCAGTTTCCTTAAAGCATGAGCTTCTTTGTGGATCCTTCGCATAATCAGCACTGTTACTATTTAAAGTACTTGAGAGAAGTGTTTTCCTAATCCCTAACTGGTGGGGCTGACTTGCTGTTTCATCTGTTGGTTTTTAGTATACTGGAAAGCCTGTTCATATTATTTGGTCTGGACACAAACTCCTTGGCTACCAAGTTTCCCTCCTGGATGTCAGGAAGTACTAACTACTGCTTTGGATCATCCTCTCAGAAACTTAGACTGCTCCATCTGCCTCAGTCAGACACAGTACTTCCTGCCAGATGTGGACAGAAGGCCTGCTAAGAAAAACTCAGGAGTGGCAGGAGCCTTGTGACAGTGCTGTATGTTTTGGTTTGATTTGGTTTTTGAAACAGGGTTTCCTTTTGTGTAGCTCTGGCCGTCCTGGAACTCGATTTGTAGACCAGGCAGGCTTCCAGCTCAGAGATCCACTTGTCTCTGCCTCCTGAGTGCTAGGATTAAAGGCGTGAGCCACCACGGCCCAGCTTGTAAGGGTTTTGTAGTTGTATTGTTCTTGTTTTCTGAGACAGTATCTCTTGTAGCCAGGATGCTCTTACTATGAAATCCAGAATAGCCTAGAACTTGTAGCAAACCCTGTTTCATATTTCTGAGTGCTGGGATACACACATGAAACCCTAGGCCTGAGATACTTTCCTGATTGAGAAAACTTGTCTTTTGAATCTCTGAAGATGCCAACTCTTTCCATATCCAGTCTTCCCTTTGTTCACAGAGGAACTCCTAGGCCTTATTGTAGGTACCCAGTGACTCCGGTGGGCTAGCAGAAACAGCCTTCATTCTCACCCTTGCCAAGCCGTTGCATAGCTTCAGGGGTTGACATGACCAAGGTAGTGAGGAAATGAAAAGAAAAACACACCAACACATACAGAAGAGCTGGAATTGTGTGCACTGGACTGTCCAATGGAGAAGCCTCCGCACCCACAAAACTCAGAATGTTTATTGTACCCTGTTTAACAAGGAGGCAGGTTTAGCCAATTTTGGCAGAACAGTCTGTCTAGAGGAGCAGTCTTCAGGCAGTAACATTGCAGGCAGGGAGCTATGGTGGGCATTTTCTGTATACACTATCAACAGTCCCACAGGGACCAGGAGGGAAGGCACTGTCATTTCCTTGAGCTTAGACTTTGCCCATGTCAAACAATACACATTCATTCAAGACATCGTTCACTTAGGGCTTCCTTGGCTCCCCACCACACACGTACACACTTGGATTTCTTTCCTGTCACTATCAAATACTCCTTCCCTCTTAAGCAATCGAAAGACTGTGCATTGCAGTGTCCTTCCCAGAGACCTTTTCATCTTCTGAAAAATCAAGTTGATAATTCCTTTCAGGTTCTTACTGAAAGTAAAGTTCTTGGCGCAAAACTGTTTTTAACAAAATTCTTTAGCCTTTGTGCCTACTGAAATTGATTTATACAAGATGGAATTAAATTCTACAGATGAGAGGTGTGGTCTAAGGTAAATCTGAAATCCTGGCCACTTGGGAGACTGAGGCAGAAGGACCATAAGTTCAAGGCCTGCCTGGGCACTTTAGCAAGACCTTCAAAAGGAAAATTGAATAAACAAACAAACTAAAATGTGAGCCGGGCACATGCCTGTAATCCCAGCACACAGGCAGATCTCTGTGAGTTCCAGGCCAGCCTGGTCTACAGAGTCCAGAACAGCCAGGGCTACACAGAGAACCCGTCTCAAAAAAACAGAAACCAAAAACCAAAAACCAACAAAATAAAATGCAACTAAATGGTAAAGTACTTGCCTAGCATATATAAGGCCCATGATTCAATCCTCAGCACCACGTTAAAAGGGGGGAGGGGGCTGGAGAGATGGCTCAGCCCAGAACTCATTTGGCAGCTCTCAACTATCTGTAACTTCGATTCCAAGGGATTTGACACTCTCTTCTGGCCTCCAGAGATACCAGTCTTACACATAGTATACAGATAGTCATGCAGATTATGGGAAAGTCATGTAAAACGGTGCCAGATTTATTTCTTGTGTGTCTGTGCTAGTGTTTCTGAAGAAGCCAGAGGCCAGCCTCAGGTATGTTCCTCAGGCACTGACCACTTCTGAGACAGGGTCTTTCATTGAGCCACAGATTAGGCTAGGCTAGGATCCACTTGTGTCTGCCTCACGAAACACTGGATTATAAGCAATGCAATGAATGGTACACTAGCTTTTTTAAAACAAGGGTTCTGGGGGTCAAACTCAGGCCCTTGTGCTTTCAAGGAAGAACTTTACTGATTGAACCATATCTCCCTAATAGTTCTTGTCTTGGATAAACAATATTGATTTTTTTTTTTTCAGTGCTGGGGATTAAACAAGGGTCCACATATATATGCTAGGTAAGCACTGAGCTACATTTAATTTTACTTCATTTTTGTTTGGTTGGTTTATACTGTTGTTGTGGGTTTTTTTCGGGGAGAGGGTGTTTTGAGACGAGATCTCACTATGTAGTCTCCTCTATCCTGGAGCTTGCTGTGTAGACCAGGTTGGCCTTGAACTATTAGAGATCTACTTGCCTCATTCTCCCAAGTGCTGGGATTAAAAGCATGTGCCACCATGCACAGCTTTACATTTAGTTTATTTATGTATTTAATTATTTTTCGATGTATTTATTTACTTTTGATTTTTCAAGACAGGGTTTCTCTGTGTAGCCATGGCTGTCCTAGACTCACTTTGTAGACTAGGCTGGCCTGGAACTCACAGAGATCCACCTGCCTCTGCCTCCCTGAGTGCTGGGACTAAAGGTGTGTGCCACCATGCCTAGCTCATGTGTGGGTGCCACTTTCTAAAGGAATAGGACCATAAGTACTAGTTGCAAACATGTGAAGCTAGAGGAATGGAACAAAAATGTCCACAGGTCTGTGTGTTCTGAACAGTTTAAGAGATTTCGGATGAGCAGAGGTGCTCAGGTTTCTTCCCTAATAAGCTGTCCTCTGTAAAACTTGGCTATGGTGGGTACTGACCACATTATAGATTGATGGATAATTTGCTTTTCCTGCAGTTTTTTAAAATAATTTAATTTTATTTTGTGTGCATTGGTGTAAGGGTGTCAGATCCATTGGAAGTGAATTACAGACAACTATGAGCTGTCATGTGGGTGCTGGGAATTGAACCCGGGACCTCTGGAAGAGCAGACAGTGCTCTTAACCACTGAGCCACCTCTCTAGTCCCCTCCTACAGTTTTTTAAACATGAAGAAATGAAGAGTTAGCACATTGAGCTTCCAGGTACTTGTCAGTCAGCTTGTGAGATCACAGACACATGCCCGTTCTCATTCTGACTGCACCTCTACTCGTCCCTTGTCTTCACTGAGATATTCTGAAGCCGAATAAAAAAAACTTCATCAGGTTTTTGTTTCCTGTTTCCCTCGGAAGATGAGAATATGCTTTTGGAAGTTTTATTAGCCCTAACTCTGTGTGTCTGGGGCGCGCTTGGTACACAGGTGTGTTTATAGACTGAAGTTAGAACTGGTGAATATTAGGCAAGTGCTTTCCTATTGAATTATTTGTAGAATCAGGGTTTTCTGGCCTCACATTCTATTATTATTTTGTTGTTGTTTTGCTATTGTTGTTTGGGAAACAAAGTCTTGCTATATAGCAAATCTTTTGCTGGTCTGAAACTTGATAGTTCAGGCTGGTCTTGAACTCATAGAGATCTGCCTGCTTCTGCAGTCTGAGTGCCAACATGCTTCGTTTTGTTGTTTTTGTTTTGCTTTTTTTTTTTTTTAGTTATGTGTATTGTGTATGCTGCATGAGTTTATATGCACCACATGTATTCACTTGCCTATGGAGGTCAGAAGATGTAATCAGAGTTAAAGCTGGTTGTGAGTCATCAGATGTGATTGCTGAAAATCAAATTCAGGTCATTTGAAAGAACAGCAAGTGCTTTTAACCATCAAGCCATCTCTCCAGCCCACAAGTTGTATTCTTTTGCCTGTCCCACTTGAGTTACATGAACAGCACTTTTTCCCAAATTCTTAGACCTTTGCTTACCAAATCTTCCAGTTCTTCATTGTGATGCATGAGAGCGGATTGAGCAGTTTGTGTAGTGCTAGGGACTGAACACAGTATTCATAGGGAGATGTGAACAAACATTTACTCATCCCAGATTGTGAATGGCTACAGAGCAAAGCAAAGGTACCACCTGGCAAACAGTGAGTTTCTTGGTGTTACTTACAGGGGTATGAGTGAAGAGTTACTTATAAGACCAGAAAAGACTCAAAGACACTGTATCATCAAAACCCACCCCTTATCAGTGGCGCTGGAAGAGATTGGAGAAACGTTCAGAGGCAGCTCAGCTAGTCTGAGCCTCTCTCAGGTAGTGGTCTGCTCATAGCTATCTCTCATGAGTTCTTATTGCTTATATATATTGAGGGAAAAGGGGACCCAGTGATTCTTGTCAGGTTTAGGGACTTGCTGAAACCTTTGAGTTATTTACTTCCTGAATTTGTCTTCAGGATGGGAATATTCATTACCGCTACCCAGAACATATTGCATCTTAATAGTTTCCCTCCAAGATGCAATGTTTTTATCTCTGAGGAAATTACTATACAGTATCCATATGGCTTTTCACTCACCTGAACCTTAAAACTGCCATTTCAAACATGTACTTGCTATTGTGTATCTATGTATTTGTGTCGGTGTGTCGGTGTGTCTGTGTGTTTGTATCTGTGTGTGTGAGAGAGTATGTATACCTGTGGTGTGTGTGTGTGTGTGTATGTGTAGCTATGTCTTACTCCGTGTGTTTTGTCTAGCTGAAGAATCTAATATTTTTTCCTGGCTCCCCTTTCTGGTCTCTTCTGGTCAGATGCATACAAGTACTCCTGATGGCAGAGGACTGGAGCCAGAGGCCAATTCTGGAAGAGAAAATAGAACACTGTGGTGGAACACTCCAGCCAGTCCAGACAGGCTGGAGGAGGAAAAGAAGAGCTTGCCGAAAACAGTCCTGGAAGTGTAGCTTTCTATGTAAGGGTTGGAGAAAGTAGTTCATGCCAGCTAACACCAGGTGGATAGGGTCCCCTGGTCTGCACTACTGTAGGAGCAGAATTCCAATCATATGACTCCACGACTGTGTCAGCATTTGTGCAGACCAGACTCCAAACTGAGAAGGGAAATGGGCTCCTTCTTTGTCTTGAAGACAAGGCAGCTTGAGGTCAGGCTTAGTCACCTTGCAGTCAAAATTGTTACAGAGTTCTTTTTGGGACTCCTGTGAACACAGAGTGTGAAGGTACGTGGAAGTAGAGACACCAGAGTTCCCAGGCAGGCCTGTGTTGGGTGTATGGTCCCACCTCTCTATCCTGAAAACCACTAGCAACTCTGAAACTCTAGGTGAGGTTGTGCTGGGGCCACCTTCTTTAGTCCAAAGTAAAAAGCTTAAATCCCCCACACCTACCTCAGGCCAGATCACATGCTTTTAGTTTACAAGTGGTTTACACCCGCTTGCCTGTCTTTTCACAAGACACAGCTCCCAGAAAGCAAGCTAGAGCAGAATTAAGGTCTCCAGATTCCAGCAAGGTTCCAGCAAAGGGTTAAATGTGGTCAGATGCTTACGGTAGAACTTCTCCTCTCCAATACCAATTCCCAAGCACCTGTTTATTTCATTTAAACAGGAACAAAGAAAATAGGCTTTGGGGGCCAATGGATGGCTCAGCAGGTAAAAGGCTCTTGCCAACAAGGCTGATGACATGAGAATTGATCAACAAAACCCACATGGCAGAAGGAGAGAGTTGATCCCACATCACCATAGTGTGCATGTACTTGCACAGATACACACATACACAAAAAAATCAATTTAAAATGATGCAGCTACCATCAAATTAATAAAACAGAAAGGAAATAGACTTGTGTATGTTTCTCTTTAGGACACAAGAATAATCACACTTTTTTTTTCCTTTTTTTAAAGACAGGTTCCTCCATGGCTGTCCTGGAATTGACTCTGTAAATCAGGCTGGCCTTGAACTCAGAGATCTGCTTGCCCCTGCCTGCCTGAGTTCTGGGATTAAAGATGTGTGCTACAGCTACCTGGCTATGATTTCAAAATTGTAAAGGAGTAATAAATAGGAACTTCTTTGATGTGACAAAGAATATCTGTGAACACTGAACTAACATTGTAGTTAACTTACAAGTTTTCACTACTGTGGAGAGGAACAAGAAAGGATTGCTCTCATTCCACTCCTCCTTGTACTGCATGGGAAGTCACAGAATATGTCATGATTACAAAAAGAAATAAACAAAGCTTAGAAGGCTGAAAAGACCCTGTCTGTGTTCACAGGTGACTATGCATCTCTAGAAAATCTAAAGACTGGCAGGAAAGTTGTAATTAATAAGCCACTGCAGAGAAGGCTTCACCATGTAAGGTTGATATACAAAATTCAGTTGCTTCCCAATAGAAAATGGAATGTAAGGCATAGATTTAACAAAAAGCCTACAAAACCCTGATGAACAAAATCAGAGAACTAAAGGGGAGATATTCCAGCAGTGGCACACATGCCTATAATCTCACCACTCAGGGAGGCAGAGGCAGGTGAATCACTGTAGTTCAAGGCCAGCCTGATATACAGAGCAAGTCCAGGACAGCCAAGGCTACACAGAGAAACCTTGTCTCAAAACAAACAAACAAACAAAACAAAACAAAACAAAACAAAAAAAAAAAGAAAGAAAAGGAAGGTATTCCATGTTTGTGGATAGGTGGACTCAAGGTTGCCAAGATGTGAGTCCTTCCAACCTGATGCATAGATTCATTACAGTCCCAAAGTCCCAGTAAGTTATTTTGTGGCTATAAACAAACTGATCCTAAAGTTTACATGGGGAGAGAAAAAAAGACTCAGAATAGCCAAACCAGCACTGAAGAGAGTATACGTGGAGGACTAACATTCTCTGATCCTCAGACTCAAAATGAGACGGGTGGCAAGATGGCTCAGTGTGTAATGGCACTTGCCATCAAGCATGACTGAGCGCCATCCCGGAGACCCACATGCTAGAAAGAGACAACCTAACAACCAACTGAAAGTTGTCCTCTGACTTCCACATTTAAGCCACACAAATAACAATACATGCACATAAAAAATAATGAATGCAGAATAAAACCTCCTTACACTAAGCCTTTTACTGTGAGAGAAGACAAATAGATCAGTGCAAAAATAAGGCCCAGGGCTGGAGAGATGGCTGAGAGGTTAAGAGGACTGGCTGTTCTTCCAAAGGTCCTGAGTTCAATTTCCAGAAACCACATGTGGCTCACAACCATCTATAGTGAGATCTGGTGCCCTCTTCCAGTGTACAGGCACACGTGCAGGCAAAATGCTTTATAATAAATCTTTTTAAAAAAAAATAGGGTCCAAAAATAGATCTAGAAATACTATAAACTGATTTTTTAAGGTGGCTCTCACTATGTTGCCCAGACCAATCTTGTACTCCTGAGCTCAACTGATCCTCCTGAGTCAGCCTTGGTCCTCTCACATAGCTAGAACTACAGGCGAGTTGCCACTGTTTCCAGTGGAGAAACTGATCTTTGACAAAGGAACAAAAACAGTACAGTGGAAACAAGATATTTTTCCCAAGGATTTTTCCCCAGAACTATATAGCTGCATGAAAAAAAATAGACATATATTACACACTTTAAAAAAATAGCTTATTGTTATAGAATAAAATATAAAGTATAAGCCTAACCATGAAATTCCACAAAGGGTTTGGGGTCTAAGTGAAGGGCCAGTGAGATGGCTCAGGAAATAAATGCAATTTTTGACAAGACTGACAAGCTGAGTTTGGCATCTGGGCCCCACATAATAGAAGAAGAGAACCAACTCCAGCAATGGCCCTCTAACATCACATGCATGCTGTGACATGTACATGTATACACACATAGATAAATGGTTCTTTAAAAACTGTAGATAACTTGGATTGGTGATTACTTTTAGAGCAAAACATGAGCATGGTGGTCAATCCCAGGTGATCTTGGTGAGTTTAAGGCCAGCCTGGTCTATAAAATGAGTCCAGACCAGCCAGGGCTGCACAGAGAAACCCGTATCTAAATAAATAAATAAATTCCCAGCACTCAGCAAGTGAAGGCAGGAGGCGCTCCACAGCTGGACAAAGAGTGAGAAAGGTATGGGAAAGAATGCCAAAAGCATGATGCATGAAACCATTGATAAGATGGACTTATGAAAATTAGAAAAATTTATGCTCTGGGAAAGACAATGTCATGAGAATGAGAGGAGGAGCCAACACACTGAAAGAAAATATTTGCATGAGACACATCTGATATAGGAATGTTATACAAAATATACACATAAGTTGGTTTTTGGAGTCAGGCTTTCTCTGTGTAGCCCTGACTATCCTGGAACGAACTCTGTAGTTTAGGCTGGCCTCAGAGATTAACCTCACCTTCCGAGTGCTGAGATTAGAGGCATGCGCCACCACCACTCAGCAGAACGTTTTAAAAAAATAAGACTAATTCACTATGCAACCCAGGTTGTTCTGAAACATTTTCTTTCCTTTAAAAAAATTTTAGATGTATTTATTTAGGATTTTTGGAGACAAAGTCTAACTCTAGTAGTCCTGACTTGCCCGAAGCTCACTAAGTAGACCAGGCCGGCCTAAAACTCAAGATACCCACCTTCTTTTGCCTCTTGAGGACTGGTATTAAAGGCATGCAAATCCTAGATTTATGTGCCCGCAGAGGTCTGAAGAGGGGGTCAGAAATTCCCCTGGAACTGGAATTAGTGTTGGTTGTGAGCCACCTTGTGGGTGCTGGGAACTGAACCTGGGCCCTCTGCAAGAGCAACAAGTTCTAACCATGAGCCATCTCCCTAGCCCCTGTGTTGGAGCTTTCAATTCTCTTGCCTTATCCTCTTGATGCTGGTTTACAGGAGTGTGCCAGCACACCTGATCTAAACTATTTGTAATACTAATTTTTTAATTTCATGTTTGTTGAGCTAGGATCCCTACAGCTCAGACTGGACTTGAACTCACAGTAATCCTCCTTAGTCTCCTAAGAGCTAAAATTAGAACCACTAAACCTAGATTATTTTATTTAGGCAGTTACTACACTCAGATGCAAAGGCCTGGTCTCCATCCCCAGCACTCACTTTCAATCAGACGTAAAGGCAAGAGAATCTGAGTTCAAAACCAGCTTTGCCTAAGTAATGAGACCGTGTATCAAAGAAAACATAAAATGAGAGCTGTTTGTGGTGCCGTACACCCGACCGAATACTTGGGAAACAGAGGAAGGATCCGGAGATGGTTCATTGGGTAAACTCTTACGTAAGTGTGAGAATCTTAAGTTTGGAGCCCTAACACCTACATAAAAACCAAGCACAATGGCATAGGTCTATAATCCCAGCATTACTGACCAGGATGCCAGCCAGTGTGGCCATACCGGTGAGCTCCATGTTGTCTTAAAAAGGAAATGAAAAGTAAAGTGAGACACTTCAGAGGGTAGAGGAAGAAACCCAACATCAGCACCCGCCCTCTCTCTCTCACACACACATACGAAAAAAAATTTGACGTGTTCCTACCATATAATTCTGCAAGCATGTTCCTTGGTATTTATACAGAGTCGCTGAAAGCATATGTCCGCCCACCTAGCTACACATGGATGTTTATGGCAGCTTTATTCAAATTTGCCAGAACTAACAGTGGCAAGCTGGGGAGCAAGCCTTTAACACACGGGCAGGCTTTGGAGAACATTCTGCAGCTAAGCTACATATACTGTCCACATGAGTCACCAAGTAAGGGAAGCCGAGATAGACATTTCAAAAATAAATATGAGAGCTCGGATTATAGCTTGATGGAAGAACCTTTGCCTCGCATGAGCAAGCCCCTGCATTCACACATACACAATCTAAATGAATACTTTTGTTATTTTAAAAGATTACATATATAGCATATATATAAAGCATATATATATGTATATATATGTATATATATATATATGTATATATGTATATATATATATATATATATATATATATATATAAAATAGGCTTTTTCGCCTGCATGTATATTTTTGTACCATGTGTGTCTGGTGTCCATGGAAGCCAGAGGGGGCATTGGATACACTGGAAGTGAAGTTACAATTGAAGCCACAGTGTGTATGCTGGGAATCGATTCTGGATGGTCTGGGAGAGGAGCTCTTAACCAGAGCCACCTTTCCAGCCCCAAAGTGAATCATTTTATATTTGTAAACATTTTAAATTAGTGTTACACAATAGAGACTTCTCTTGCCAGTTTTAAAGTCTGTGTTGTTTGTTTCTGGTACTCAGAGTCAAACCTAGGCTTATTCCTGGCCTTATACTAAGTGCTCTTACCACTGAACCAACATTGCAAACACATGTTTGATATACATCAAGCTACCCAGAGAGGTTTGACTTACCAAAATGCTTGATATTAATAGAGTAAGGCACTCAAGTAAATCAACTGCAATTACATTTCCTTCTAGTCTTTGTTTTTTTAAAGATTTATTTATTCACTATTTATACAGCATAATGCCTGCATGTGTGCCTGTGCACCAGATCTCACTATAGATGGTTGGGAGCCACCATGTGGTTGCAGGAATTGAACTCAGGACCTCTGGAAGAGCAGCCAGTGCTCTTAAACTCTGAGCCATTTCTCCAGCCTCCTAGTCTTTTCTATGCATCTTTTTAACATTGTTCAGACCTTATAACATAAGCCATCCTGTTTTCTTATAGCCTGTTGCTTCCATAACAACTTTTAGGTTTTTTATAAAGATTTCACAAAGATTCTATAAAGGTTTTTTTTTTTAAGATTTATTTATTCATTATGTATACAGTATTCTGCCTGCATGTGTGCCTGCATGCCAGAAAAGGGCACCGGATCTCATTATAGATGGTTATGAGCCACCATATGGGAACTGAACTCAGGACCTCTGGATGAGCAGCCAGTGCTTTTAACCGCTAAGCCATAAAGTTTTATTGCATATGTATGTGTGTATATGCTTTTGTACATGAGTGCAGGTGCCCTCAGAGGCTAGAGGTGTTATATCCTCAGAGCTAGAGTTACAGGTGCTAGGAATGAAACTCGGGCCCTCTAGTAGAGCAGTATGCTCATTTAATTACTGAGCATCTCTTTAGCGCCTCAGAATTATTTTTAGATTCGTATTTATGTGTATGAGTATTGTGTCTCTATTTATGTATGTGTACCACATGCATGCCTGGTGCATGGAAAAAGGTGTCATTCCCTGGAACTATAGTTATGGATGGCTGTGAGCCATCATGAGGGTACCTGGAACTAACTCAGGCTCTCTGCAAAAGCAACAGTGTTTTTAGCTGCTAAGCTATGTCTCCTGCTCCAGAACTCCTTTGTTTTTTTAAATATATTTACATATATATATACACACACACACACACACACACACACACACACACACACACACACAGTGTTCTGCCTGAATGTACACCTGCACACCAGAAGAGGGCACCAGATCTCATTATAGATGGTTGTAAACCACCATGTGGTTGCTGGGAATTGAACTCAGGACCTCTGGAAGAGCAGCCAGTGCTCTTAACCTCTGAGCCATCTCTCCAGACCCCTTGTTTTAGTTTTGAGACAGTTTCTCTGTGTTCCAGCCTTGGCTGTCCTGGAACTCACTATGTAGACCAGGCTGGCCTTGAACTCAGAGAAATCTGCCTCCCGAGCAAAGACATACGTTCACCACCACTGACCAGCCCATAATCACTTCTAATATAAGCATTTTTCTCTCATGGCGTTAAACATTTTTGTAACCATCTATAGATATATTTGGGCCAACTGATTGACATTTGCATGAGTTTTATACAGTAAGATCTTTATAGTTACTTTGTTGTACAGCTACAAACAGTGGGATTCCTAATTTAAAGGTGAATATTTTAAAGATTGTTGACAATTTTATGGGTTTCTGTTCTTGAGACAGGGTCTTATGCAGCCAAGGCTGGACTGGTCTCAAACTTGTTATATAGCTGAGTATGACTCTAACTTGTGATTCTCCTGCCTCCACCTTTTAAGTGCTGCTCTTATAGGAATGCACCCAGTTTTATGTGGTGCCGGGAACTGAACAGGGCTTCATGCACATTAGGCAAGCACTCTACCAACTGAGCTATATTCGTAGTCCATTCTTTTTTTTTTTCCCCCTTTAAAGGGAGAAGTATTCTAAAAGAGGGGGAAGAATTTTGAGTCCCTGAGGGTGAGGGTGGGCCCAGGATGAGGGCAAAAGGGAGGGGATCTATAAAGGAAGGCAGCAAGGAGACCAGCCACCAGGGGGCAGCTGGGTTCACTGAGGACCTGCCCAGTCAGGGATGTGTTCTTTGTGGCAGGAATCACGGAAAGCCTGAAGCAGTAGGTGTGTCTTTGTGGACTAAGACTCAAACCCTGTTTTCTTGAATTTGTGCCCACATCTCAATACACTGATTTACAACAAAGGAAGGGGTCGGGCTCCACATCTGAGCTGACGCTGAGGGAAGGATTCATCTTTAAGTAGAGGAAACTGCACTAAAGAGAGAAAATTTTAAAAAGGAGCCCCCAAGATTGTTTGTCAATGTTGGGGTTGCCTCTTCTCACCCTTGTGGGATGGAGCAAGGCATTCTGGTTTC